CAGAAGCCAAGGAAATATTGGCGCAGTCAATATGTTATGCCCAAAATTTATGGTTGCACACACTGCTAAAAAAAGATCCAAAGAATCCAATTTATGCAACTTTACTGGCTTTGTCGGGGCTCCATCAGTCGCGGCGTCGTGAAGCGGTATTGGGCAATACGACATAAAAAAAAATATTAAACATAATGAGAGATTTAAATCATACCGTGACGTCGCTGAACCGTATTGGCCAATTCAATGATAATAACTCAACGACTCAGAATTAACTCAAATACAATTCAGATGATTCGGCCGAGTCATGCGAGACTCAAGGTTTATACATATCGTGTGTATTGGTATTAACCAATACTTTAAACCATGATCTGATGTTAGTCAAGAGTTGATCGAGTAAAATAAAGAAAATTCATTGACCCAAAGTTTATGCTAATAATGGAAATTAATAAGGTAATGTAGACTGAGATCTTGTCATCCTTAGCATAGTTCAAGGTCGCAGTATGACCACCAATTCAAAAGGCTTTGAAACATATTGATCACAATGTCACGTCGTGGTATCAGGCAACATGACCTAAAAGAAGTTGAACATCACGAGACCATATCACAGAATTGCAAAACTGTATCAGCTGATTTCGTGACGATAATTTAGCAACTTGGGGTAAATTCGGATTGACTCGGCCGAGTTGTACGAGACTCATTGTTTATTTGTAATGTGTAAGAGTATCGACTTGGAAGCGTCAAGTCAACCGACTCGTATTGGTATCGACTGATACTTTGATTTGATTCTGGGCCTATATAATATTCAATAAATGTCATGTATGTCTCTTGTTGAGATTGATTTATTCAGGACATGTTATGTTTGCGTCGTGTTTAGATTGACTTGTATAACCCGTGAACCCAAAATTAGTATCATGATTTCTCTCAATCAAATTCACTGCATATAGGGCCTCATAAATTAAAAATATACATGATTCCGAATCTAGAAAAACCAACTTGAAAAATATTTAACTCCATGATAATTTATACAACATTAGATCAATACATGAGAACAAAATATAAAAGTATCAGACATTTTCTTTATACCACATCAATTATATGAGTTTATCACCTCAAAATAGAGTTATTCGTATGCGGACATAATCTATCTCATTTAAGCCATAATAGTGAGTCGTATCGTTTTCCGATTCATGTTGAGTTGGCTTTAAGCATAATTATCAAATCGTGTATCGGAAGGCGTATCGTAAGATACAAATATTGTATCGTAAGATACGGTGCAATTTTAAATAAATAATAAAAAAATATATATACCTTTGAAAAAAAGTCATACACTCAAAAAAACATAGTATTTCATTAATACTCCACCAACTATTCAAGTCATCAACATAATCCACTACTATTATAATGCAAAGTTCACAATCATAGTTCACTAATTCAAACTTTAAACACCAAAAAGATTTCTAATCCAAATTTCTAACATCTATTTTGAACTCAATCTTCAATTTCAATTGAAAATGCATCATCATCATCATCATCATCATCGGATGTCAACAAGTCTTCACTTTCTTCATCATCTTCAACTTCTTGTATTTGTTCATCCTCATCCTCATCTTCAAGTTGAACTATTTACTTTCCTTTTTTCTTGTTTAAAGAAAGATTTCTAGGCCCTACAAAGCAACTAATACAAAATATAAAAAAAAAAAAATTCAAAGTAATGGAGAAGAAAAAAAACAACCACTACATTTTAATTACCTCTCTTTCTCTTTTTTGCTCGTCCCTTCTTGAACCTCAAATACTCACCAACATTCATCCAAGTAGTGTCCTCAGAAAGGAGTGCATCTTCTTTTTCAGTGATCCACTCATCATCAGATTCCATATCTGAGAGAGAAATAGGATCATAGGAATCACCCTCTAGTATTCTCTTTTGGTGTCTTGCCTCCAATCGAAGATTGTATTTCACAAACACAAGTGCACTTAATCTTTGCTGCTCTAATCGATTTCTCCTCTTAGAGTGCACCTGGTCAAATGTACTCCAATTCCTCTCACACCCTGTGGCACTACAAGTCAAGCTAAGAACGCGGATAACAAGTTGTTGCAACTCTGGACAACATCCTCCAAATGATTCTCACCACAAGGCTATAAAAAATTACAATAGAATACTCCATTAACTAACTTAAGCAATTGCATTCAAATGACTAACTTAAGTTAGGTTACCACTAACCAGGTTGTTTCTTCTTCCTCATCTAGATTGCCATGTCCATTCCAAACATCAAATCAATATTATAAAAGATATCTAATTGTTTATCAATTTTTTCTCTCACAATAGGACTTGGGTACATTCTCTGAATAGTCTGATAAAGTCTCATCTTTATCTCATAGTCCGCACTACCAGTGTAATGAAACCTGAAATAGTTATTTTGATTTACAATGATCATTGATCAGTATACAATATATAAATATAAAATAATATAAAAATTGAGAAAATTAAATCTTATGTGGGATTGAGATAATAGGCAGTTGCATGAAGAGGTCTGTGTAATTGCATGTTCCATCTAGTGTCAACAATAGCCCATATGGGCTCATAGTGCTTCTTCACATTACGAAAATTCTTTTGGATTTGTTCCTTTGCCTTGTTCGTTGCCTCGTAAATATACCCCATGGTAGGCTTTAGATCCCCATCTACAAGCCTCAACACCTTCACCAATGGCAACACACACTTCAAACAATACTTGATTGATCCCCAAAAATTTTGGTCAGCTAGTATAATATCCATCACTTTTACACCATCTCCCTTCTTACAATATTGACTTCTCTGCCATTCCTCATAAGCAAACATTGCTCTAAGCTCAATTTTATTTTCAAATAAACTCCTTAAAGTTAAATATGAGGTCGCAAATCTGGTCACACAAGCTTTCACCAAATCCCTTTTTTTTGTATACTTCCTCATAAGATTTAACACCCAAGAATGTCTATAAATGTAAACTATGACTTTCCTTGCCTTTGACATTATATCCTTGTGTTGAGGAAGGTCCCCAATATCCGTCAAAATGAGATCTAGACAATGTGCAGCGCAGGGAGACCAAAACAATTTTTTCCTCTTTACCATTAACAACTCCCCAGCTTTTACATAAGCCGATACACTATCAGTTACAATCTGAACAACATTATCCTCACCAATCTCTTATACCATTGAATCTAAAAGCTCAAAAAGATTATCCGCATTCTTACAAATGCCTGAAGTATCAATACTTTTAAGAAACACACTTCCTCTAGGACTATTCACTAAAAAATTAGTGATAGAGCGATGTTTTCCATCAGTATATCCATCAGACATAAGAGTACAACCCGTCTTTCTCCACTCTGCTTTATAATTTTCCATCAACCCACCATTAATCAAATCTGTTTCTTTTTTCAAAAAAGAACATCTCACATCATGATACGATGGAGGTTTCAATCCCTTGCCAAACGATGCAACAGATTCTAACATTCTTACAAAATGTGGATCCTTTACCAAATTAAAATGAAGGGCATTAGCATAAAAACATCTACAAATATCCAAGCATACATCTTCCCTACCTTTTTCTTCAACATGGTATTCAAAGTAATTGTGGTGGTTGGTTGTATTTGATCAACAATAGTACTACCCACACTACCACTACTTTTCGAATCCACAAGACTCATATCTTTGCTAATTGCCCTATCATCCAATAATTGCTTAAAAAATTCAGTTACTTCCTCAGGGCAATGCTTACACGCTGCTACATCTTTGCGATTACCTGCCAAATGATTTTTCATTCTTGAAATGCCTCCCCAATAGACATTTGCACAATGAATACATTTCAATTTCAACATTGATCCTTCTACTTTGTCACAATGTTCTCATGTGGGATCATTAGCAAGTTTTTTAGTCATTTCTATATGAAAATTAGATGCAGGTGATGCCACTGTTTCACAAAATTAAAATTAATCAAGATTCAGAAATTTTTATACAAAAAAATATATATACATTTGGCTTTGTAAATAAATTAACATCATTTCTTACTGCACAAGACCAACGCTTAATGGAGATTGGGAAGAAGAAGAAGAAGAAAAAGAAGGAGTATCTGGAGAAGGAAGAAGGCAGCGATCAACGATCACCCACAGTCAGAGACCAACAATCACCCACAGTCGAAGACCACCCACAGCGATCACCACCCACACTCGAAGACCATCCACAGTCGAAGATCACCTACACAGTCGAAGACCACCCATAGCGATCACCACCTACAATCGATCACCACCCACAGTCGATCACTCGTCGTCGATGACTGAAGAGAAACCAGAGACCTCTGAGTCTCTGACCAGCGATGAGCGAAGGCCGAATATAAGAGAAATGAGGGATTTTATTTTTTTTTGTAACCCTAACCACTGAAATCAGAGCACAAAATGACGTCGTTTTAAAAAAAAAAAAAAAATTGCACGTATCGTGCGTATCGTACCGATATATATCGTGTATTGGACGATACAACGCAAAAACAATACATAACTACGACCCGTATCATTTTAGGCCTGTATCGTACGATACGTATCGCGTATCGTACGATACTAACAACTATGGCTTTGAGTCATGTTGTGTGTCGTGTCATAGATTGCCACCCTTACACAGGAGGCAAGGATACTTATGATATACAAGTATACAACACCCATTCAGCAATTCAAAAATATTATCAGCACAGTATCCTTAAAAGCATCTAAATTAAAACTCTCACCAGATTTGCAGCAGCCCAACCAGCAAGAGCAGATAGAACAGTCATCACCTAAAAGTAGCAATTTTTTGTGATTGTAAGCCCTCACAATTTCTGGAAAGAGATCTGAAGTGCTGATTGTATTGTCAACAAGGGTTGTAAGAGGATTCTACAAGAAATCATCTGGCCCATATTGACTTTCCAGAGAGTAATATGTTTTGTACATGGTCGGCTCCAATCAACTTGGGAAGAAAACTTACGTTGTTAGCTACCTCATTCTATTCATCAGACCAAACTAAGGCCAGGAATTTTGTAGGCATTTTGGTCGTCCATTGCTCTTCTCACACTCTCAGAATCAGAATGCCTACTACTGGCACCAGCAAAAATATTGGACAAAAGCACATACTCACCACCATAGTCTTTCTGCATGCCCAGTATCTTCCGCATGACTCTCTCCCCCACCTCAATGTTTCCAGGAAGCTACAAGCACCCAAAGAAAAGCGTCCTCCAGATCATAGCATTAACCATTTCCATAGGATTATCCAAAGCCATATTTTCCGCTTCGTCAAGCCTCCCTGCACGACCCAACATGTCTATCAAGCACCCATAATGCTTAATGTCTGGTACAACACCACACTTGTCCACCATTTTTCTGAAAAACTCAAGCCCCTCATCAATCAGGCCTCCATGACTACAAGCATTTAACACACTCAAGAATGTAACTCGATTTGGCTTCATACATGCATTTTCCATTCTTTTAAAACTATCCGCAGCTTCTTTTCCCATTCCATGCATTGCAAACCCAGATATTATTGACGTCCACGACACCACGTTGCTCCTCTCATCAGATATATCCTCAAAAAACTAGAATTGCACTCTCTACGCTCCCACATTTTGCATATGCATCAATAAGAGAATTCATAACACGAATATCAGACGCATTAAATCCACTTTTGTCTCCATAAGAATGGATAATTTGGCAAGATTCAAGACGCCTAAGATTCCAAATAGCCGGAAAAACAGCAAGAATAGTTACTTCTGTTGGTTTAATTCCCTCATTCACAACCATTCTCCGAAACAAGGCCAAAGCCCCATTATAGTGGTTCATCCTCGTGTACCCAACAATAAGACCGGTCCATGAAACCACATTCTTTATTAGCATCACATCAAAGAGATATTGAGCAACACCAAGCTCACCCCACTTTATGAAACCCGTAATCAAAACGTTCCATGTCACCGAGTTTCTGTCAGGCATTTCATCAAACATTTTCTGAGCTTGCACCAAATACCCACAATCAGCATACATGTTAACCAAAGCAGTTTGCACGTAAACGTGGAACTCAAAACCTGCTTTGATAGTGAGACCATGGAGTTGAATACCTATTCTGGGTCGCTGTACATTAGCGCAGGCTTTTATAAGGAAAGAGTAAGTGAAGCTATCAAAAGAGATGGTTTGGTGTTGGTTTTGGTGTTGGTGCTGGATGTGTTTGAAGAGTAAGAGAGCTTCTTCAGGGACGTGACTAAGTGAATAGCGGCGGAGCAGAGTGTTAAAGATTGTCAAGATTGGGGTTGTGGTGGATAGACGTGAGAGTAAGTTGGTGGTGATTAGTTGAGTGTGGATTTGTTGAATGGCTGGTCTGTTGTGGTGTCTGAATAAGAGAGAGAGCAAGTGGTAGCAATGCTTGTGCGTCATTTCCTAGGAAGCACGAATATTCCAAGCAAACACATCAAACAAAGTGCGAAAATAGAACCTGAAATAGCCATAGCAATTACACAACTATCAACCGATCACTGCAAATTAACACTGATGACTGATGACTGATGACTGATGACTGATGACGTATTTCAACGTGGATGAACAAAAGGTGCAAGTAACGTGAGATGAGCGTAAATCAGAGCTTCAAGGCTCGTATATGATGATGCAATCAAATATTAAGGGGATTAAATGGGTGTACACAGTAAACAAATAGTGATTCATCAGCTCAGGAGCTTGGCTAGTCCACTCTTCAATGGAGGCTCTGACTCCTTTTTCTTTATTGATCATACCAAAGGTTTACAGAATAGGTTTTTGGTCATTCGGTCCTCTTCTTTTTCCCCATTAGGGGGTGCTACCTTGCATTTATAAGGTCATTTCCTGCTCAAAAGGATCTTAGCTGATATTCTTGCCCTTATTTCTTGGGTTTCTTTTTAATTTTAGGAGAAGATCTTGGTTGGTTGAGATTGGGTGCTTTGATTACAGCTTCCTAACGCTTTAGGATACTCTCGTGGTTATCCAGTTGTTACCTTACCTTAAGAGACACTCGGCCCTTACCCTTTGACCTCTGCTAATGTGTCTAACCTCCTGGTCCGAGCTGACCTCCTGAGCTTAGCACTTGGAATTTATTTTAGGTATCATCACTTGCCTCCCCAGCTCTTGGCTGAGCTGGCTCGGGCAAGGGCTGAACTTAGGATGTAACAGTAATGACTTCCCAATCAGCAACTTCAAATGTGCTCTAGCTGTGCATTTTTACTTTAGTCTTCCCTTGTCCCCTTTGCTTTAAGGAGTGTTAAGCTCTTCCTGAAGCAGGAATGCTTTGGGAGTTTCATACTTGAGCTTATTGGATGAAAGTAAGTGGTAAATCTCATCACCAGCTGCTCCCTGTGTTTCATGCTAGCTTTGGCGATTCTGTAGGTTTATGCAGGACGTTGGACTTGTAGACCTCATGGTTCTGCAACTTCTTCTGAAAGAGTTTTTCTTCTTAAACTCCCCACTGTACGTGGCCGAGTTTGTTGTGATGACCTTAGGAGTTCATCGTGAGCTCTAAGGCTTTTATAACAGACTAATGAGTTCGTCGTGAGCCCCAAGGCTCTTATTACGAACTAATGAGTTTGTCGTGAGCTCCAGGGCTCTTATTACGACTTAATGAGTTCGTCGTGAGCTCCGGGGCTTTTTTTATGAACTAACGAATTCTTCGTGAGCTCTAAGGCTTTTATAACGGACTAATGAGTTCGTCGTGAGCTCCAAGGCTCTTATTACGACCTAATGAGTTCGTCGTGAGCTCCAGGGCTCTTATTACGACCTAATGAGTTCGTCGTGAGCTCCAGGGCTTTTTTTATGAACTAACGAGTTCATCGTGAGCTCCCAAGCTCTTTTTATGAACTAATGAATTCGTCGTGAGCTCCAGGGCTCTTTTTATGAACTAAAGAGTTCTTTGTGAGCTCCTGAGCTCTTTTTATAAACTAACGAGTTCTTCGTGAGTTCTAGGGCTCTTTTTATGAACTAACGAGTTCATCGTGAGCTCCCGAGCTCTTTTTATGAACTAACGAGTTCTTCGTGAGCTCCCGAGCTCTTTTATGAACTAACGAGTTCATCATGAGCTCTAGGGCTCTTTTTATGAACTAAGGAGTTCGTCGTGAGCTCCTGAGCTCTTTTTATCATGTAACGAGTTCTTCTTGAGCTCTAAGGCTCTTATTATGAACTAACGAGTTTATCGTGAGCTCCTAAGCTCTTTTTATTAAGTAACGAGTTCATCGTAAGCTCTCGAGCTCTTTTCATGAACTAACGAGTTCATTGTGAGCTCTAGGGCTCTTTTTTATGAACTAATGAGTTTTTCGTGAGCTCCAGAGCTCTTTTTATGAAGTAATGAGTTCTTCATGAGCTCCCGAGCTCTTTTATGAACTAACGAGTTCTTCGTGAGTTCTAGGACTCTTTTTATGAACTAATGAGTTCATCGTGAGCTCCCAAACTCTTTTTATGACCTAACGAGTTCTTCGTGAGCTTCATGGCTCTTTGTATGAACTAACGAGTTCATCATGAGCTCTAGGACTCTTTTTATGAACTAAGGAGTTCGTCGTGAGCTCCCGAGCTCTTTTTATGAACTAGCGAGTTCTTCTTGAACTCTAAGGCTCTTATTATGAACTAACGAATTCATCGTGAGCTCCCGAGCTCTTTTTATGAAGTAACGATTTCGTCGTGAGCTCCCGAGCTCTTTTTATGAACTAAGGAGTTCCTCGTGAGCTCCAGGGCTCTTTTTATGAACTAACGAGTTTATCGTGAGTTCTAGGACTTTTTTTATGAACTAAGGAGTTCGTTGTGAGCTTCCAAGCTCTTTTTATGAACTAACGAGTTCCTCGTGAGCTCCAGGGTTCTTTTTATGGACTAATGAGTTTCTCGTGAGCTCCCAAGCTCTTTTTATGAGCTTACGAATTCATCGTGAGCTCCCGAGCTCTTTTTATGAACTAACGAGTTCTTCGTGAGCTTCAAGGCTCTTTTTATGAACTAACGAGTTCATCGTGAGTTCCCGAGCTCTTTTTATGAACTAACGAGTTCTTCTTGATCTCTAAGGCTCTTATCATGAACTAACGAGTTCATCGTGAGCTCCCGAGCTCTTTTTATGAAGTAACGAGTTCGTCATGAGCTCCCGAGCTCTTTTTATGAACTAGCGAGTTCATCATGAGCTCCAAGGCTCTTTTTATGAACTAACGAGTTCATCGTGAGTTATAGGACTCTTTTTATGAACTAAGGAGTTCGTCATAGGCTTTCGAGCTTTTTTTATGAACTAACGAGTTCCTCGTGAGCTCTAGGGCTCTTTTTATGGACTAATGAGTTCCTCGTGAGCTCCCGAGGTCTTTTTATGAACTTATGAATTCGTCGTGAGCTCCCAAGCTCTTTTTATGAACTTACGAGTTCGTCGTGAGCTCCCGAGCTCTTTTTATGAACTAACGAGTTCCTCGTGAGCTCTCGAGCTCATTTTATGAACTTACGAATTCGTCGTGAGCTCTCGGGCTCTTTTTATGTGTGAATGAACCACAAACTTCCTGCTTTATTAATAATCATATTACAGGACAAAGTTTTGTACCTTATACATGATTTGCGATATTGTTGTGGTGAGTGGAGGTACATGCCGAGATGGTGACCTCGACTGTAACTCTGGATGAGATGGTCCCAAGCGATCTCTAACGTCTCCCCTTATTTTTGGGGATCGATCTCTGTCTCTCCTTGGGGACCTATCTCGTTCTCTTTCTCTTCTAGGACTTCGGTCCCTCTTTTTCTCTTCTTTCCCTTTGTCTTTTTGGATGGATGAGGTCCCCACTTTTGGGAGGAGAGCTTGTTCGTTTTGCTTCAGCTAGCGTTGATTGACGAGGTAAAAGGCCTCCATCTCGTTATTCATGGAGAGACCCCCCACGGGTGGATTGGTCTCTTGGACGTTCTCAGGTTGTTTGCTATTAGTAGCTTCTTATTGATCTTGCATCTGTGGTGGATTTGTCTGACTTTGGCTCATGTTTCGTGTTGATACCATTAGCCACTGAAAGATCAGTTTATTTATAACAAGAACAGTCGTTTCCCATAGACGACGCCAAACTGATGGTGTATTTCAACGTGGATGAGCAAAAGGTGCAAGTAACGTGAGATGAGCGTGGATCAGAGCTTCAAGGCTTGTATATGATGATGCAATCAAATATTGAGGGGATTAAATGAGTGTACACAGTAAAAATATAGTGGTTCACCGGCTCAGGAGCTCGGCTAGTCCACTTTTTTTCTTCATTGATCATACCAAAGGTTTACAGAATAGGTTTTTGGTCATTTGGTCCTCTTCTTTTTCCCTATTAGGGGGTGCTACCTTGCATTTATAAGGTCATTATCTACTCAAAAGGATCTTAGCCAAGATTCTTGCCCTTATTTCGTGGGCTTCTCCTTAATTCTAGGAGAAAATCTTGGTTGGTTGAGATTGAGTGCCTTGATTACAGCTTCCTAACGCTTTAGGATCCTCTCGTGGTTATCCAGCTGTTATCTTGCCTTAAGAGACACTTGGCCCTTATCCTCTGACCTCTACTAATGTGCTTGACCTCTTGGTTCGAGCTGACCTCCTGAGCTTAACACTTGGAATTTATTTTAGGTATCATCAAGCACCAATCCAATTAATAGCAGAAGCCTCACATGAACCGGCAACAGCAATGGCAAAGCTCCCCATAAGTACCCACATACCCTAATTTCTTCCAGATTTCAATAACAACTCTAGGACCTATGGTCGGAGAGAAACCAAAATGTAATCGCCAATCTGCCGAGATTTAGGAAATTTAGAGATAATCTAGGGGTGAGAGATGACCGAAGTGCAGAGAGTCTTCGTCTTTAAGAGAGATGCGAAGAAAAGGGCGATAAAAAAATAAAAAAGATAGAAGGCCTTGGCAGTTGTATCTCCACTTGAGACACCCTCTTACTTCTTAGTAAGGAAAACAAAACGGGGTATTCCTGCCCCCACAAATATTTATTCTCATTTTATTTAATATTTTATTATCAAATTATTAAATTTATTCTTTTATATCCACTTCATTAATAACTAAGTCCACCTCATATTATATATGATGATACCTAAAATAAATTCCAAGTGCTAAGCTCGGGAGGTCAGCTCGAACCAGAGGGTCAAGCACGTTAGTAGAGGTCAGAGGGTAAGGGCCGAGTGTCTCTTAAGGCAAGATAACAGCTGAATAACCACGAGAGGATACTAAAGCGTTGGCAAGCTGTAATCAAGGCACCCAATTTCAACCAACCAAGATCTTCCCCTAGAATTAAGGAAAACCCACGAAATAAGGGCAAGAATCTCGGCTAATATCCTTTTAGCAGGGAATGACCTTATAAATATCGTGTAACGCCCCCATCAGAAAAGAAGGACCGAATGACCAAAAACCTATTCTGTAAACCTTTGGTATGATCAA